TACATCAAAAGGCATGAATACGTCTGATTTTTTCCGAATATCTACAATTATTCTTTGGGTTGAGGTTTCCTTTAATGTTGTTCTGGAAGCAATATTATTCAATCTTCCTGTTAAGCGTAAATGTAGTTTCTTGTACAATATAGAACACGGAAATCATGGAAGCAGAGAGCTGATCAGATTATTATCAATGCCCTTATCTGACGCATATATGGGTGCCCACTATTGAAACAACCAAGTTTCTATACCTTCTGTGCTAAACAAACTTACCTTTTTATACAGGTCCTGTGATCTGTTTGTTGTAGAATGCATAAATATGACATGATCAAACAGAATATGTGTATCTTTGTCACTTACTTACTCTAACATATCTTATATCAAATATCTGTGTGGTTTTAGTGCATGTTTATTCAAGGGAATGAGAAAAAAAGAGAATCGTGAATCGTGAATCAAGAATCAGCAAGTTAGGAAAACATAAGAATTCCATAATGTATCAAAAGTTCTACAAAAACCACTAGGCTGGTGGCTAGCAAGATTCCACAATATCCATGTAGATGCTATTTCATATCGAATTTATATAATTTTTTTGTTTGTTATACGCACGGATAATCAGATCAGCTTAGTCATACTGCTTTGTGATTTCTTTCTTTTGTGAACCGTTAACCGTGAATCAAGAATCTGCAAGTTGGCAAAACATAACCATTCCACAATGTAACATATGTGATATGAATATGTTGGATACGATTACCCACACAGCACACTATATTGCATACGGTTGTGCGCGCAATACGGTGCGTGCATGCTAACTTTTTGGCGTGCCGCTCTGAAGTGCAGAAGTACAAACTTCTCAAACTTTTATTTCATTTAACTTGTTACACAAGGAAGGTGATATTAAACTTTTAAGAACAATTTCAAAATCTTTGGCCAAAATTGGAGAGTTTGGAGCGTTTGATTCCCGGCAGGAGAGTTTTCGGGGTGCAAATTGACACCTCTTTTCAAGTCCGCCACACCCCGCTATATAACTTTACGTGAACTTGGGGTGTAAGTTTACCCCCTTGTGGGGTGCAACCTACCAATATGGATTCACTGGTATCAATCTTCCTCTTGACCTGTCTCTTGTCGGTAAGTTGCCTTTATCATATTCAAAAATATGTCATGATTGTCTGAATAATATAAGTGATATTCCTACATGATGTTTACACTGTAATGACTATGTTAAATATAACTTTCTCAAATGATACTCAGAATTTGTTTTTAATGATAATATTCTCATGTACTTTTGCTAGAACATTTTGAAGAATTGTAATGACTTTCTATTAAAACAAGAATCCCTTATCTAGTTTGTATATCACATTCAAGTAAATGTAGTTGCAATGAATGCCCAAAATAATACAAAGGTTGCCTCGTTATAATATGCAAACTTTTGTAATGCTTATCTATAACAACACAATCTTTTTGACAATGTGATATTTAAAACAAAAATCATGGCTATCTATGTATAATAATTCACATCTCGTTTCCATAGTATACAAATATACACTGTCTTGCAAGGTTCTGGTTAAAACTATGGGTAAGAGGTGACTCCAATATGTGCTGAGGGGCGCAGCCCCGAAACAAACTGTACTATTAGAGTCACTGAGGCTTTAACCAGCACCTCGAAAAGAAGGCGGGGTATAATTGCTTTATATCCTGCATGAACAATATTTATTTTAAAACATCAACGAAAAATATTGTTCTTTTTAATTAAAAACCTTGATAGTAAATTACTATAGAGGAAAGCAGAAAACCAGGTCCACAAGGGAGAAGGCATTTAGGGGAAAACAGAAATTAGTGATATTTGGTCCATCCATGCCAAAGTGGAGAGCTATCTGCAACTAAGTCATAATCCACTGACCAAACTGCCAATTTGAGATTCGCATAGGCTTATAATGAACTCGTATTTAAATCATTCATAGCTTATATTGCTCCGATGTGTTTCACACTTTCGACATTCTATATATCCTATTTTTCTGCTTTCATACAAATAAACTTATTGCAAGAGTTAGATTGCCTTTTACTTCTCACAATATTGAGTTCTTGTATAGCGCATATTACATTATGATAGCGTCTCTATGCGCTTCCAAAGAGCTTTGGAAATTATTACCCTAGCTTTAGCTCCGGCAGCCGTTATCAGCGCACAGTGTAGTTCAAGGAATAATCCTACCAGCCAGGTGCCCATTTAATTACCTCACCTGGGTTGAGTGTGGCAAATGTATTTTAATGAGGATTAAAGCTTGCCATTTCTTCCTTTTCACCATTGAAACACTGATGACTATCTATGAATGATTCAAACTTTTTTTCCATAATCCTTATTGAAATTACGAAAGCTTGCCAAGAGCGTCTGTATGGGAATGTTAACTTATGAACATTAAAAAAAAAAAACGATGGAACTGGGAAAGGTACTACCCGGCTCAGTTACCCGCAAAACCGACTCCACACTGATAAAAAACGGACAAATAGGAGGACACTTTTTTTTTGGGGGGGGGGGGGGGGGGGGCGGGGGGGGGGGGGGGAATCCCCAAAAAAATCGCGACGACTCAGCCTGCCGCTGAATAAGTGGGGGGGGGGGGGTAAGAGGACACTTTTTTTTTTTTGGTCTCGAAATTTGAAAAATTGACATTTACAACAAAAAAATTATAATAAAAAAAACAAAAAAAACAAAGGGGGTGTTTTAGGGGGTTTACATACAAAAAAATACCAAAGGGGGGGGGGGTTCAACCCCCCCCCCCCCCCATGCGTACGCGCCTGGTACTGGGTAACAGATAAAATGGATGAATTAAATGTTAAATAAGTGCGTCTTTAAAGATGAAGTTGAGTTCTGGTCATGCGATTGCATTGTGAAAGTAACGGTGTGGAACCGACCAGAAAAGGTTGATCATCTAGCATGTGTGTATTGCAAGGTTCTGGAATCATCAAAATGATAAGAAATTTGGCCAAGTCTTGGGAAAGTTACAAACACTTGCACAGAAAGATGTATATGGGACTACACGAACACGTGGCGTAAAAAGCCGGCCCCCGATTTTTACGATGTTACATGCATATTTAAAATATGAAGGCATTTGAAGAGCCATGCTTTTCAGGGAACATGTCTTAACTGATGTTCTTCCACACTTGCATAATAAGAATGAGTAATGCTCACAAATTATTTTTCACCTCTTCCCAGAACTCAACCTTCTCTTTAAAGCGATCTTAAACTTAACAAATGAGTCAATGTTTTTATATGTTCCGGGAGATTGTTCCATAAAGTTGAGGCAGTGTGAGCGAAGCTGCGTTCACCATATGACCTGGTCATCACTGGTGGAATAACAAACAATTTTTTCTTATTAGAACGAAGATTTTAGAAAGTGTGTACAATGTTAATAGCTCTATCAAATAAGGAGGCGCAAAATCATAAAAACATTCATAAGCCAACAACAATATTTTGAATAAAATGCGAGTCTCGCATTTTATTCAAAATATTGTTGTTGGCTTATGAATGTTTTTGTCTTGTACTTTATTAAAAGGATATATTTTTCTCAATAATGAGTGGGGTAAAATAAAGTAGTAGTCGTAATGGTGGTAGAAATAGAGTCATTATTAATTAGATCATCGTCACAGAGTGCATCATGATCAACATCCTCGTCATTCTTATTCTCGGTCCCATTCTCATTGTTCAAAGCATAGGCCTATATCTACCCATCGTCACAGAGTGCATCATGATCAACATCCTCGTCATTCTTATTCTCGGTCCCATTCTCATTGTTCAAAGCATAGGCCTATATAGGCCTATGCTTTGAACAATGAGAATGGGACCGAGAATAAGAATGACGAGGATGTTGATCATGATGCACTCTGTGACGATGATCTAATTAATAATGACTCTAATTCTACCACCGTTACGACTACTACTTTATTTTACCCCACTCATTATTGAGAAAAATATATCCTTTTAATAAAGTACAAGACAAAACGAACGAACAAACAAAAAGACATGAAAAACGACGTAAAGAGGTGCTCCACTGCATCCAAAGAAACCCCCAGCACTAAATCTGTTGGAATGTTATGCATGAAGTCACAACACAAACTCTTGTAAAATGAAATGATACCGGTCACGCCATAAATCATTGAAATCTGGCTTAGCCTCACCTCCGTAAGAATAATAACTCATGCGGGGGAGGGGGGGGGGGGGTCACTCCCAACATTTACACAAAAAAAACGACTCGGCCAGCCGCTGAATAAGCGTGGGGGGGGGGGGAGGGGGGAGAGCACCTTTTTTTTTTTTTCCAGTGCCGCCAATGGGAAACTATGCCGAGCGAAATTTCGTTCAGTAGGGGGGGGGGGGGGGTAAGGTCACTTTTTTGGTCACCCTTTAGCACAAAAATACCCCCCCCCCCCCTACGTATGCGCCTGTTGAGATGGCCTGTAGGCTGTAGCAATCCTTCTAAATTGATGTGGGGCCCAATTTGGGGCTGGCGGAAATCATCGAATGACGATGGAAACGCCATTTATCACAACAACAACAAGCTGCATGCCCTCAACGTTGATTGCGAATAGGACATTTCATTTGCAGATGACACTGGATAAAACGTGCGACATCGGATCGAATATAATAATGAACCATCTCAAGTAATTTTAACTCCTGGAAGCGGCACGCTTCGGCCTCGGGGCTCCTTGAGTAATTGAAGCAAATGAATACAGCATCGTGAAGAAGTTTCAGTTCGGTATGTTTTAACCTTTTTCGTAACGGGCTAAATTATATTTCACTGTGGGGATAATCTAACAATTACGGTGCATGTTATGCACTCCATCATATCATATGAAAGGTTTATTGAGTCAAAGCATCCACTTGTATATACTTCATCTGGCCGTGCACGCTCCACCGTACTCTACTCCGCTACCAGTGCATGCACACCGCTGCACCCCTGGAGCTGCACCTGTCGATTACCCGATAGGACTGGCAAGCTGTCTGTTTATTTGGAAGAATCGTGGACCGGAGCTGGAACACGGGCCAGACGGCCAGCGAAAATGCACGCGCATGTTCTGTGCGCTTGTGGAAATAGATATAGCTAAGGCCAAGGGCTAGGTGAAAATCAGGATAATGTAAAATATGATATTGATATTATCACCACTGTTATCAGTATCACTAACTAACTAAGCTAGGTGGATCCGTTGCAGTGGCGGAGCCAGGCCCCCCCCCCCCCTGGGTAAAAAAATGTGTAAAAACACGTTTATTTTACTTTATTTTTGGAGATGCCCCCTGGCGCTCAAGGCCATATTTTTATGCCCCATAAACCCCCCCAAATGTCATTTTACCTCGTGCATGTTATATTGTAAATTAGGCCTAGGCTATAATAAATCGGTTCCAGTTACCAACTTGACTGAAATAATCCGTTTAATGGTCCCTTTTTTAGGAAATTATGGGTCAAAATCGAAATCCATGTTGAAAATCTTGCAAGACGTATTTTAACTCTCGCTGCGCATGACGTCATCTAAATCTCATCCCTTCTAGTCTACGCCGAAGGCAAAATGATTATAAAGAGAAACTGTGATAACGCCATTACAAACGTGTAGCTCGGACGGAAAATTTGGTCTACCCCTCCGCCTGATCTGTTGACTAATGCCATGAGTTTCTTAGATATTTAATGGACCTGATCATGCTGATAGTGTTTTCAAATGTATTTCAATTTTATGCAGTTTTCGGGGGGGGGGGGGGGGGGGGGGGGGGGTAAGGCTGGGGGGTAAGGCTAACAAGCAAATTAAAAAAAAAAAATTTTAGGGGGGGGGGGGGCCCGGGGTCCAATTTTTTAGTAAATATTTAGGCCGGCTTAGAAAGACAATACAGAAAAGTGGAATAATTTACCATCATAACTACATGTACTTGAAAAATGTATTAAAAAAAATGCTAAAAAAGCTCAAATTATGCCAGAGTTTTGCTAAAATCAGCCAAATTATACCTTACAAAAAAAAACCATAATAACCATGTTTTTTTTGTCCAAATTACCATCAACCATGCAAAACAATGAAATATTTACTTATTTATGTATTTCATTGTTTTGGTACCATGATAACCATGGTTACCATGGTGGATGGTAATTTGGACAAAAAAACAAGGTTACCATGGTACTTTTTTGTCAGGAATATTGCCATATGTTAAAAGGGTCCAAATTATGCCAGATCTGGCAACGTTGGGATGAACTCGCTACAAAAAGTTTAATTTCCATACATTGGCTGTTTATATGTCAGGCTAGCAACTGACAAGATTTTTGACATGAATTACTTAGGAACTTAGTAAATGGGTCTATTTGCTGTTAGCATGCAAATATTTTCCCCAAACATAATAATTACTATGCTTGACATATATTAACATGAGTTAATAACTGAGGCCCTTGGCTGCTTATATAGTACAATCAATGTGTCTATGTGTATGGTGACTGAAATTTAATGCCAATTCAGACAGGATTTTTTCTTCTAAATGGTTTGCAAGGTTAAAACTACTGTAAATTTGCTAAGTCTCATCTCATTTGGGTTAATTGATTTATAATATAGATCCAACAAATATATATATATAGACCTAGTTTGGGACAGGGTTGGTGGCACTCCAGCAAAGCATAAAGAGTCAATGTTAATGCGTATTGACCTCTAGCACTGCATGCTTGCTGTGAGGAAGGTATTATTAGACCTATACACAAATATACACACCACACAATATTGCATAGACTGCACACAGTTATGTCGATGCAGCTGTCACTATGAAAATGATGGACAAAGAAAGAGGACAAAATATACAGTTCCTCAGGTAGACAAAGGAACATCCCTTCACTGCTATTATGTAAAACTAAGTAGAACAGGTGTCATATGCATATTCACCTGTTCTACACATTTTTACATAATAGCAGTGAAGGGATGTTCCTTTGTCTACCTGAGGAACTGTATATTTTGTTCTCTTTCTTTGTCCGTCATTTTCATAGTGTGTAAGCAAAGTTTGACACTAGACTTACAATTTGAATTTTTAAATTATTCTTTTTAACATCAGTAAGTTGAAAAAAAAATGTATTTTACCGCTATTTAGGTTTCATCAATTGTGACTAAAGTACCGATTTTGAGTGAAATCAGTTGAGTTTTGTACAGTGGTGTTTAAAATGTTGAGAATCAAAAGCACAGCTTTTACTACACGGCCAGGATAGTGATGCTCCTATGTGTGGTTGGCAGGAGCTCAGAGGGAGTAGATCACAAATTTCTGTCTCTTTCATTCGCTAGCCTCTTATTTAGACAGGGTCAGCTCCTCTCTTAGAGACAGAAGCTGATCATAGGGTCTGCTGTGCAAACTTTGGTGATCAGATCTGGCCATCAAACTAGCATCAAAACGAAAAGTGATCATGTGACAAAAATGTATAAAAAATGTGCAGAAATGTTTGCCGTTTTTTTAAAATGCATTTTGTTAGGGCTCTGAATGAAAAGTTACTTTAATAATAATAATAGCTAGTTCTTATACAGCACTTTTCGCAAACCTGGGAGGCGTTTCACAAAACTTGTCATCAGTGACCAATGACAGATTTGTTATAAGCTCCTGAAATCCTTGCTTCTGATTGGTTATCAGCAGATTTGTCACTGATTTTTGTCATTGAAAAAAGGCTTTGTGAAACGGGCCCCAGGAGTGAATGAAAACCTTCATCACCACACACATATATGGGAAAGAAGAAGCATCCATAAATTTAAATACATATACTTGATAAACGACTAAACGACACTAACTAAAACATGTTTTTATTCTTCTTCTTAAAATTCTAAAATAAACGACTTTGGAGTGCCTTGTTTTGTTTAGAGGACCTATAATAATATTATCCATATTATATTATAAGTAGTGCCCCAATGGAGATGGCGCTGTAGGAGAATTATTTTTGTGCACGATAAACGGGAGCATTGTCTGTGAATACGTCACAATCTACTGACAAACTTTCCAACCTGAGAATCACTTAGCTTCAGTAGTCTCATATTTCAAACACTCATACTGTATTTGCCGGCGATAAGGCCGCAGCGCCGTATAGGCCGCACGCCCGATTTTGACATTTAAAAAAAAAAAAAAAAAATCTTTTGCCAAAGTCGGGATTTCGATCTCTTGCGTACTAATGTTGATGTGACTAAAATCACCGCCTTAAACCACGCGGCCATCCTGCACTAATACCATACACTGCAGTTTTCTGTGATGTAGTCGTTGAAATGGATTGAAAATGGCGACTTCGCGTGGATGCTTCGCGGCAGCGGAGCTCCGTTAAACGGGCCCTTCTTTTACTTTTGCAATGCATTGGCACGAACTTAGATCAAAATCTATTGGCAGATGTTGTTTTTGGATGTTTATTTTCATCTTCATGTCAACAATGCAAGATAAAATTGTCGGTAAGATGTGTGGAAATGTATAGTTATTGTACCGTTCGTAGATCTAGTCCCATATGTACAATTTCGTGCTGGTTTTGACTTTTTTTTTTTTTTCTGTTTCGCCGTAAAGGCCGCACCCCGACTTTTGATATTTTCTCTTCCAAAAATACTGCGGCCTTAACGCCGGCAAATACGGTAAACTCTTTTATTATTGGTCAGTTTTATTTCAATATTTTATCATTCTTTTTTTTAATGATTTTCCTGCTTTGAATCCATAAAAATAAACATATTACAAGGTCGGATTGCTCTTTTTAAGAGTAATATTTTCTTTGAATTTATGTCTTCCAGCTATCCACTGCACAGATACCCGGACCTGTTCAGAATCTTGTCATCAACAATATTCAGCAATGGGGGTTCACAGCGGCCTGGGATCCACCAAATACTGGCAACACCCCAGAGTTTTACAATGTGACCATAACAAATACTAACACTAATGATGTGTATGAAAGATCCTTACTCCCCAATGATGATGGGGCATATGAGATTGATCATCTCTACGATGATACCACTTACATGTTCAGCGTTGTGGCTGTCAACTCTGATGGCCAAGGGGGATTGGCAGTTGAAAATACTGGCATCAATATTCCACGTAAGTTACTCTTTTCAGAACAGGAATCACATTGATGTTGTGATCATAATAGGCCTGTTCACACATGTCAATTTAGTGCGATTGGATCGCGATGCAAAGATACACACACAGAGAATTCTCACTCTATGGCAACATCAAAACTGCCCATGCGTGAATCTCAACGATGAATGTGCGCTTGGAATCCTGGGAGTAAATAAATAAATTTTTGATTGTCAATACCCTTCACACACACAGCTCCCGGCAAACTACCAGGATTATACTGAAAAATCAGGAGACTTTTAATACTGCAAATTGGATCGCGATACAAAATTAATTTTTAAATCTCACTTTTTTCTGTAGGTGTGAACGCCCCTAGTGTAAAGCCCCTTTCACACGAGATCTGCGTAGAGTTGCGTAGTGTTGCGTACTGACTACGCCGAAGTTAAGCTGCGTATTCATGAAAAAATTGATGCTTCGGCGTAGTCCCTGCGTAGGCAATTGGCGTAGTGTTACGTACGCTTGCGTAGGCCTGGCGTAGGGTTGCTTACGGTTGCGTACGGTTGCTTACTGTGTGCGAAAGTGCCATGTAAAAATGCAATAGACGCTGGTGGGAGCCGCGAGTGTAGCCATTGGCGCTTTATAAACCTAGTTTGCTGCCCCTCAATCCACTGCTGCCTGCTGTCCAGAACACATCGCTGCTGTTGGAATTACAGTTGACTGTTGTAATAACACAGGCAGAAAAAGATCATGAGTTGGTTGGGCCCTTGGCAAAAAGGTACAATACTCAATCATCTGGATGCCCTGGAAAGACAAGAACAGAGAAGGAAAGAAGCAAGAAGAAGAAGAAATATGTGGGTAAAACCTTGTATCCAGCGCAGGCCCCTGCAAGGGCAATATGAACAGCTGATGAAAGAACTGCATGCTGAGGATGTTTCTGCATTTACCAATTTCATGCGGATGGGGCCACAGGATTTCCATGAACTTCTGACACGAATTGCACCGAGGATTACCAAACGAGATACTAACTACAGGAAGTCTCTGGAACCTGGTTTAAAGCTGGCTGTCACCTTGAGGTTTCTGGCCACCGGCAACAGCTACAAGACACTTCAATATGGATTCCGAGTTGCCCATAACACAATGAATAATCTGACAAAGTTCTCATGTGCCCAGATATTCCAGAGGGATGGAAACAAGTGACACAATCTTTCTACAACTGCTGGAACCTTCCTCACTGCGTGGGTTCGATTGATGGCAAACACGTTGCCATCAGGAAACCTCCAAAGATTGGCAGCTTATTCTATAACTATAAAGGTTTTTTCCCCTTGTACTACTTGCAATTGTAGATGCTCAATACAAATTCATGTATTTGGACATTGGACACACTGGCTCTGGCTCTGATGCTGATGTTTAACGAGAGCCCTTTCAGCTTGGCAGCAATTGAGGCAGGCAAACTGAATCTGCCTCATGATGACCAGCCACTTGAATATTTCCTTGTGGGAAACGACGTGTTTGCTCTCAAGACTTGGCTGATGAAGCCTCTGCTGCTTCGCAACATGACTCACCAACAGAGAGTCTATAACTGCAGACTTTCGCAAGCCCGAAGGGTTGTGGAAAATGCTTTCGGACTTCTGGCAGCACAGTTTCGCTGTCTTCTCGTCACTTTGCCCTTAACTCTAGACAGAGTCATCAAGATCACACATGCATGCTGTGTCCTGCATAACTTGCTGCTACTCAAAAATCCTACAATTGATGTAGCTACAATTGACCAAGAGGACCCACAGCACAATCACGAAATAATCCCAGGCTCGTGGAGACAGGATGCCCACCTGCCAGACATGGAACACCTGTATCGTGGCAACACAAGCAGAGCAGCAAAAGAGCAAAGGAACTACCTATAATGGAGTATGTCAACTCTCCTGTAGGCAGTGTGCCATGGCAAGATGAGTTACTGCTTATCCATTATTATAGACTAGTGTGACTTTGTTTATGACATTACCAAAGCTTCCTCTACCATGCCATTGATGCAAACATCATAATTAATATAATATTGACAATGTGTCATTTTTTACTTTGGTGTGCTATTTATATTGCAAAATATACAAGTACTTGTTGCATTTTTCTTAAAAACAGTCGGATTTATTTATTTATATATAATTAAATCCTGCAGATATAGTTCAGAAGCGACAATAGAGTCAAGCGGGACGAATAAAATGTAGCACTGCAGAAAAAAGTAATGAAAATTCCAACAGGGATCAAGCAGTCATTGTGGCTAGGCTGCGCGCAGGTTGGATCTAGGACGTCTTTATACGTTTTTAATGCTTCGTGGGACTGGCCTAGGGTAGCGTATTGATGGCTAGGCTTGGCGTACAGTTGGGTAGGCTTGGCGTATAGTTGCGTAGACTTGCGTACAAATTGCGTACTTTCTGCCTCAAGTGTCTACGCCGAAGGTACGCGAAAAAAACTATACATGTTTAATTTTTTGCGTTCATCTCGAGTACCCATTTGCGTCCCTCCGCGTACAGTTACGTAGGGTTGCATACGATCGGCGTAGGGTTGCGTACGATTGGCGTAGTCGGTACGCAACTCTACGCAATTCTACGCAAGGCCCGGTGTGAAAGCCCCTTTAGATTATAATTTACTCATGGGTAATTCTTTAATTTACATTTAGCTTTGCATACTCTGTCGTCATGGGGGCAGCCGTGACCTATATTCCTTCCCCTTTATCTCTATTCTTCATACTTCCTTCGTTCTGCCCATACTCATTCTTACCTGTCCAACCTTGCCTGCCAAGGCAACCTCACTCTCTGTTATGACTTTTCAACCTTTAACTCACTAGACACCTGAAACTCTCTTTCCCTCCATTGGTTACTTTGAATTCCTTCTTGCGAACTTATGATTGGTCACTACTACTTTTATATTGTTAACATGGCAGCCATCTTGGCAGCCATCTTGGAAGATGTATTCAAATTTAAAAAGTCAGTGCACCTCAACTCTAGAAACATGTAGGACTGACGTTTGGTGTGTCTTAAATTTAATAAACTCATCTATTATGGTCATTTCCACAAGAAAATTGAAAACCATAGGTGATATAATACCATAAATGTGATTAAGTATTTTTTACCACGGCAGAATTAATAGATTGCAAGAATAACCCAAAAATTTAACTTTTTAGAGTGTTTAATATACAATGCTGAAATTACAATATTTTTGTTTTTGTTTGTCATCCTAGCTTGCCAACTGTGCCTGAACAGTGCAACTGAAGGACCAAGCTTTTTCCGCCTGATGTTCCCTGCTACGGGTGTGACCACCATTATTTCTGGAACATCAGTGGACGCGTCCACGCGACTTACTGGAACCCAGCGTACAATCAGCCCACTGTTAACATCCACATTTTTCCTGGGGCTTCAAGGGGGTTTGCTGTATGAACTGCAAATGACAGACGCTAACACACAAACCATTGTTTACTCATCTCGGTATAGAACAGGTTGGTGTAGTCTTTAACTTATATCGTGCTATTTGTGTTAAGGAAACGCTCTGTATTCAACTAAAAATTGCACCTGATGCAAGGTCAAAACTCAGCAAAAGTTGAGTTTAAAGACCCTTTAAAAAAACTTTATATCAATTGAAAGCCGAATGAATGTAGAATAAAAACGTAAAAGAATAAAGATATATTTTCTCTATCACATTTAGTATTGCACAAAGGCAAATTAAAACCTCATTTTCAGCACCCCTCCAAATCACAATCCACAGGGGTAAAATTTACTGCAGTTTCGGTGACAACATCACATGTGGACCCGATCTTGACTATTTACCTTAGGTAAGTAGACATGCTTAAAGGGATACCGGTACTTGAGTTTTGTTGCAGATGGCGCTACACAAAATAATTTTTGTTGTGAGATAATGAAAAACTTGGTGTCAAATTTGAAAGAACATACAATTTAAATTACAAAATCATCTTTGTTTGATCAAAATCGGTTCAGAGACGGCTGAAATATCCATAAATCTAACGATTTCTAATATTTGTGGTGCCCCACAAATATTTGATAATTTGACAACTTGATTAATCAGCTGTTGAAAAAATGAGATGGCGCCTTGTATGTTTTATTCAAGCCAATGCCTATGTTGGCTTTTTGGTGGCTTTTTGGTGTTGGTTATAATACTCAAAGTCAGCTGGCCCGTGTATTGTTATTATTAAATAATTAATTAATCAATGGTCACCGTTTAAAAAAAAAAGTGGAGCTGAATTGGTATGATCGCATTAGCTAAATTTCACACATTTTGGGGTCTAAAATTACCCTCATAGCAATTTCAGGTCCTAAAAGAGCACTAGAAATGTCATAAATAAGAATAAGAGCTGTAACCAAGCACTCTCTAAAGGCTTTTGCGGTCTGAAACAAGAACTCAACTATCCCGTTAATTATTACAAAGTCATTGTGAATATGCGTACTTATTACGTATTAAAGATGATGCCACAAAGTCGAAAGCTTCTTTTTTAGGTCAACAACTTTCGATATTCAAAGCTTTAGATTTTGAGTTTCATGGAGCTCTTACTCCTCTGACGGAGGCTGAAACTAACAGCAGATAAGTGATATTATTGTAATCTATGGCCTATCAGCTCTCCATTGGGTGTTTAATGAAGGAAGTTAGACAAAAGTCACAGTTTTTTTCTCATGACGTGTGTCAGGTTAAAATGGGTTGATCTTATTAAGCATTAAATGTTAGTAAAAAAAATTGATGAAAATGTTGAGAAAAGGGTGGCAGAAGTAGCGCTTCTCGTCAAACGTCTCATAATAAATGTATAAACACACCATCAGTATCACAGCATGATGGATATGAGCACTACCCGAGTAATCATTACCATTTCTCGAATATTAAAGTAGTCATTAATATTTTTATATGCCGAAAAAAAAGAGTCAACTTAGGACACCACCTTGGCCTTTATCTAGTTTATCTGCATGGTTGTTTTTTATGAGTGTATCTCTGAGAGTAGACTAAAATATAAAAAATAAAAAATAAAAAAACTATTGCCGAAGATGGGACTCGATCTCTTGCGCACCAACGTCGATGTGACTAAAATCACCGCCTTAGACCGCTCGGCCATCGCGCACTGATACCATATCTAGCAGTTTTCTCTGATATATACATTAAAATGGATTGAAAACGGCTTCGCGTGCTGGATGCTTCGCGGCAGCTCCATTAAACGGGCCCTTCTTTTACTTTTGCAATGCATTGGCATGAACTTAGATCAAGATCTATCGGCAGATGTTGTTTTTGGAAGTTTATTTTCGTCTTCATGTCAACAATGCAAGATAAAATTATCGGTAAGATCGATCGAGTTTCAATTGTATTGAAATTACCGACCAATTCATCACACACGTACGGTATCCTCGATCGCTACTATTTTCCCGGTAACCATGGTTACTGGGATTTTAGAACTATTTTTTAGAACTATTACATGGGTTTGGAATTTTACCGGGAATTTTACAGGAATAGTTAAAGTTTATGAATGCAATTTCGACCAATCAAATGGCTGGATTTCTTAAGTGAGGTATATAATGTTTTTTATTTTATATTTCTTCTTATTATTATTTTCATTATTATTATCATTTTTCACATTATTATTTTGATATTAATGATTATTATTATTATTATTATTATTATTATTATTATTATTATTAACATCCTCTTCTTTTAAGTTCCTAATTCAGCAACAAACCTTCTGCTGAGCCCCGATTCCAGTACAAGTGTACAAGTGACGTATGGGCAGCCAATCGGAACCCAGTATCACAAGTATGATGGCTTCAGGATCACGTTTGGTGGTCAAGAACGCTTCGTGGGAAGTAGCAATACGTCAGTGTTAATCAATGGTCTACAGGCGGAGATTTCATACACCATTGAAGTTCAGACGTTCAGTGGCGAGTTAGCTGATCGTAAATACTCTACTCCTGCAACTGGTGATATAACTCTCGGTAATGCTTCTCTTTTTATGCCTCCGTTACGAAGTAGCCGGAAGCATTATGTTTTCGGGTTGTCCGTCCGTCCGTCCGTACGTCCCGTTCTCGTGATCGCGTTATCTCAAGATCCGATGGATGAATTCCTGCCAAACTTAAACCATGTATGTATCTGGCAGAGCCAATGAGCTGATTAGATTTTGGGGTCAGGGGGTCAAAGGTCACGGGGCTCATTATGCAAGCAAAAATAGCTCGTGATCACGTTATCTCAAGAACCGATTGATAGATTCCTGCCAAACTTAGGTCATGTATGTATCTAGCAAAGCTAATGAACTGATTAGATTTTGGGGTTACGAGGTCAAAGGTCACAGGGCTCATTATGTATGCAAAAATAGGTCGTGATCACGTTATCTCAAGAACCGATGGATGGATTTCTGCCAAACTGTAGTCATGTACATATCTTGCAGAGCCAATGATCCGATTAGATTTTGGGGTCAAAAGTTAAAGGTCACAGGGATCATCATATGCAAAAATAGCTTATGATCACATCATTATTGACACTGATGAACAGATTACCATCAAAACATTTATTTATCTTGCAAAGCAAATGAATTGAGTAGATTGTGGGGTCATGAGGTCAAAGGTCATGGGGCTCATTATGTATGCAAAAATAGCTTGTGAACGCCTTCTTATTGCAACTGACCGATGGATTACTATCAAACTCGAGACATGTATGTATCTTGCAGAGCCATTGACCTGATTAGATTTTAGGAATTAGGGTCTTAAAGGTAATGTCCCTTTTGCAGCCAACCTCAAATTCTGTAGAACTTTGCAGGAATTATGAATATGTCATGCATGTCCTATCTGTGAAATTTAAATGTTAATAGCGTCCTAATATTCAAATTATGCAAGGAAACCTGTTTACTTGCTAGACTTCACTGTCAGACACTATTGAGTGACTGACTGGCTTTTTTTCTTCTTTGATAATAACATACATAAAATGAGCTGTAAAGGGTACATGAGCATTTGTCTACATCAATAACCCACTTCTTGTGATGGTCAAAATTAAACTGATTGAATCTTTGCACAGCATATTAAACGTATGACCATTCAGTACATTGGTCTGAAAATCAAGACTATTACTTATTGGCTCTATAGCTCCTAAGTCGATTTGACAACTAATTGTCGTTATTTTCCCACTTGAAGACATTTTCAAGCCTTACCTTTTTATGGAAGTTCTAAATTAGTACTATCTTTCAAATGCCGCTGGAATTTAACCTTTTCATTTTTGTGTCCTGTAAATGGGACATAGTACCTTTAAGTTCAAAGACCAAAGGGTCATACATGTATATAAAAAATGACTTGTAATCGAGATATTCTGCGAACCTGTCAATGAATTACAATCAAACTTGAATTTGAAAAATTGCTCTATGGCGGAGGCACCATTTTCGACTGCGCGCAGTCGAACATCCATCTAGTTTTATTATATTCCTCAAGCAGTATGCCGGAGGATACTTTGGTTTCAGCAGTGGCACTGCGCCGCCTCTGCGTCATGTAATTGTGTGCGCTCTAAATTGTGTATGGAGATGTAATATCTTGATACAATCTACATCTGTAGTGTTTGGTGATGCTGCTCCTAATCTTGACAATAGTCTTGACAATCCCTGCCAGTGCATTTGCATCGTGTGGCAATGGAGATTCATTCATTAACTTATAAACATTTTTACAAGGAATTCACAACTTCAGTTTTAATAGTGGCCTTCGGCTAGTTGTTTGCTCATGATGATGTTTTTGTGTTTTTTGTACACAGATTCAAATTGGAACTGCAAATAATAGGATGTTAAGTTTCACCCTTTAATACCTTGGTTAGAGAAAATTTCAGTCAAACAGTTGTAGCACACTTTCAGCCAAACATCACCAGCTACCATGTCTCTTGTCTTTCTCTAATTTCTTAACCTGCCACTTAATTTTGGAATATACCTTAATAGTCTGGTTCATTTCATAGGCCAACATTATAGAGCAATACAGGTATAATGATGACAATGTTACAAAGAGGGCAGCAAGCAAACATCAAATATAGCCAAGTAATTTCTACATGCATTGTCCATGGTACAAATCATTTGTGTATTAATTTCTGAACCCCTATACAGTTGATTTGTTTTTGGAAGCGAATGCTACTACATCGTTGTCAGTCGCGTGGGCCCTCGCCAGCATTGAAGTCAGTGGATTTCAGATCCGATACAGCATTTTGGGTGCTTCATCTTTCACCACTTTGCCATTTGGTGCAACTGTAACTTCTGCTACACTGGAAAACCTAGAGCCTGGTAAGATTTACCGGATCAACCTCTACATTGTGACAGCCGAGGGAACAGACCTTCTAACAGGAGCAGAATTTCAAACAAGTAAGACAAGATTCAAAACCCTGGGTAGTGTCATATCATTAAATATTGTTATTGTAAGTATTTTTTTTTCTTTCTCAATAAGTATTATCATTACTATTATTACTATTATTGTTATTAAGGTTCTTCTTCAT